ACTATGTATGTTCACTCAGGAACAAATACAGCAGAACAATAATGGGATAGCCTCAAAAAGCTCAACTTCAGTGAGGACAAAGCTCGTTTTTCCACAGCAGGCATCATTCTGCAGTTCTGCCTATGGAATGAAAACAGATACATACCTGTGAGCACGGTGGGCAGTTCCAAAAGCATCATTGACATAAACATCTCCCAATTTAGAAAGAGAAGCTCTGAAAGCCTCCACTTTTGCAGCATCAGCTTTGATCTAAAAAGAAAAAGAATGACAAGTTTGTGCTACTCACACAAAACTAAAGTGAAATTCAGCAATTTATAAGCAATGGGCTTCTAAAAAAAAAAAAAAAAAAAGAAGCAAAGAAAGATCAGCTGAAGAAATTCAACTGTTCAGCCTGTGGGTGTCTTCATTTCATATGCTCTTTACCAGTCCAGTAGGAACAAAAGAGACGTTTAAATAGTTTTAACTCTGTATTAAACTCTGAGAGCTTACTATTAAAGCCCTGAGGACCACTCCCATGTCCAACTGCATCAGTAAAGCAGGCATGGACTGCAACCTTTTGCTCTCTCCAACAGATTTCTACTTATGTGAGGTGAACACAGGTAACACATAAAAGGTATGTAAGAGAAGTCAGTGCTGAGACGAGACAAAACTCATTCAAAGCCATTTACAAAGAAAGCGTGGTCTTTAAGCGCTACAGGTAAAACAATGAGCTGATGGATTCATTTTGCATCACTGCACTGAGGATTAACTTATAAATAGCCTGCATACTACAACAGGCCACAGTGACAGCAGCCAACATAGGAACACTGGAGATTAGCTTAGCATGTAGTAGGCAAGAACAGACACATTTCTGTTAAGGGACTTTTTCAATCATCCAGGCATCCTACCAAATCCTAAATGGGATGGCTCAAGTAGGTCAGCTTTGCGTGCTTTTATTCACACAGCCTGAGCAGAACATAAGCTAAAGGGACTAAACAGATTCTAGAACAATGCTAAAGTGTTCCTTCACTTGTTAAATTGCCTGGCTGTACACAAAGAGATAAAATGCTTCTGTTAAAGCATCTGTAAGCAGAACATGAGACTCTTATGAAGGAACCACTACCACTTGATTTGCTTCGGACAGACATTTTCCAAGCATCCACTGATAACCCACAAATTTGTATCTGGTCACCCCTTCCCTCCCCTGTAGGGAGGGCATGATAGTTAAGCTGAGAAACTTGTCAGCAGTACCCTTCTGCATTGCCCAGCTGCAACGCATACTTCTGTATGCACAGTAGTGTACAAAATGAAGGGATTGTTTTTCAAAGCAAATTAAGTTCTCGTCCCATTCTTCTCCCTGCCACCACACTGGCTTTCAGTTGCACATGACTGTGGTTAACTTCAAACTCGCTCAATTTCCTATTTTCATCTGCACAGGCTTACTAAGCTACTGTGGGCTATTTTCTTAAGCCACTGGATTCCTGTATCAGCCTCTAAAGGGCACCACACAGTGTCAGCATTCCCCTCCATGCACTGAATATGAAAGGAGCCAAAACCTGTGTAAAGTCACCAAGGTCACTATCGCTAAGAAAAGCAGCTGTCTGGAGCAAACATTCTTCCTGACCTTCAAGAAAATGTCAGAGGTACAAGGCAGCCAGGTTCTTGATGGATACCATAAGAGCAGACAGGCTTATAACAGGGTTTGATAATTTCTATGTTGCAGAACATTTGATCAGCACATTAAAAAACAAGCTAGAGACAGAATTGAAAAATTCACTGCGGCTAGTGCTGTGAGAATGACAGCCTCCAATAGACACAGAATTTTGTTTCAGACATCTCCACAGCTTCCTGGACAGCCCTATTTCATTCCTTTTACAGACTACAGACCCCTGGCAATCATTTACAGCCTTTCACTTAAGCTGTTTCATCCTGGATATTCAAAGCATTTGACTCAGATTTCTCCACTGCATACTACAGGTGATCAAACTTGCTGAACAAAGGCTCTCTAGTTCCCTTCTGAGAGTGAATTCATAAACAGCATTTTGAATGAATAGGTAGTTCACTGTCAATCTGCTGCAACCAAGGTATTAAGACCAGAGGAAGCACACACAGAACCTAGTCTTGAAGTTTCACCTTGTTCCCTGAAGCATCCTTCCCTTTCCCTTCTTCTTCTACATGAAATCGGAGGTTCTCTAGCAGGATGACGGAGCCATTTGCAGGATTAGCACAGGCCTTCTCCACCTCAGGACCAACACAATCCTTTAGGAATAAGACCTCCCTGCAAAGACAAGACATACACTGTCATCCCACTAGTGACTCTCTTTCCAAAAGAAAAGCATCCTGGTCCACTCACAGGGAGGGACTGATGCATGCTGAACTGCTCTGTTACTTCACCTGCCCAGGAGAGCTTTAAGTTCCACAGCTACTGGAGCCAAGGAGAACTTGTCAGGCATGGGAACTCCATCTGGGCGGCCCAGGTGACTCATCAAAACCACTGATTTGGCTCCATGGTCCAAGCAGTGCTTGATGGTAGGGACAGCTGCCTTGATTCTGGAACAGCAGAGAAAAACAAATGAAAAAGGATTCAGCTAGAGTTTGCCATGGAAGTAGACTTGGTAATCACCCGCGTGAGAATCCTGGAACTTTTTCGTCAAAAAGGTAACAGAAAGAGAACACAAGAGCTGGGTAGAATTATTACTTAACAAGTTCATTCTACCTCTCATGTTCACACAGTTCTGTGTACTTCTAAAGACAGCAGGGCATCGTCACCAGTACATTCCTAAAAGGGACAATGGGCTTCTCAGCAACCTACGCTTAGTAGGACAAACATCTAGGAGACTATCACACTTCACAGAGCACAGCTGCCTGGTGCTAACCCAACCTATTCCCTTCCCAAGGAAACTGACAATCCCTGAAGCACAGTCATTATGCATCACACACCAAATAATTTCCTTATCCCACAGCGTTTTCAGGTCTTCTGCTGTGATCTTCCATGATACATAGGAGATGTACCTTGTCATTCAAATGCTGCAGATCGCTCATAGCAAAAAATTGTCAGGAAGCATACGAATATTACTGTGCTCCTGATCTAGTCACTGATATTGAATCAATAAAGGAATGCTGATCAAAACCTACCTACAAACGATGGACAAGCAAGATAAAAAGACATTGTATATCCCTGTTTCTAAGCCCCGTGTTTTCATATGCTGCTCTAGAACAACTATGCTGATGTAAACCAACAAGTTAACAAAGGGTAAGGAGAGCAGAAAGTGTTCTGGATACTACCATCAAGTACAGCAATCAGAGCCAAACACACACATGGCTATAACGTGGCCATAATGCTGCAACCATACTTCAGAAATAATGGTTAGGATCCATACAGTTAAGCAATAGTTTTTAGGTGTCTCTACAGGAGCTACAGTAAGAAGCTCTGTAGTAAGTGCTGTTTGCAAATAGCTGCAGAAGCATTTAAATAACCACTCTGAATCACCTTTAATACTCGTGTACCAGCAGTAACAGTGTAATCATGGTACCACTCCAGGTATTGTTAACAGAGCAGGGCAAAAATGAGAGAGAAAACGGACTTCGGGTCTTCATTTTGGATGAAAAATGGGTCTCACCTTTGATTGTTGGTTATTTTGTGATCCTTCATTGGAACATTGAAATCAACCCTAAAAAAAGCAGAAAACAAAAAAAAAATTAACAAAGAATGAGGGAACCTGAAAGTAAAGAAGCTGTCTGGAAATGCAGTGTCATTAAGGTTAGAGTTAGATTTTCAGCTGCTTTGTGCACCACTTCTGTTACAAAGATCAGTGTGTTATGAACCATTTATTCTTGTAACGACAGTACAACTGGAGAACGAGCATCAGGCTGCATACCATCAATACAACCCAACTCACGACCACAGCAGCGACGATGCTGAGGCAGAAAATAAAAGTGAGACTGAAGGAGCTGCCCCACTTCTCCTTGTGAAACCCATGCTCTCAGACCACCGACTGGGAGCTTTCTGTTCTTTGCAGCTCTCATCTCCGCAGAGCCGAGCACTACGGCTCGTAGGGAAGACCCTACCTAGACGTAGAGGTAACTTTCCCCAGAGGAAAGGATGAAAGGGGAGGAGTTCCGCCAGCCATTTCTGACTAGCGTACCTCGTGCCCACGTGGTGAGCAGCAGGAAGCCGGTTGTGTAACAGCTCAGGGCAGAAATTATTCGCAGAGCGGCTTCTCTCCTCCCTGACTCACGCAGGGAAAGCGTGGCCAAGGCACGGCGCTCAGCAGCACCATCTTTTTCCTCCCGAGGAGGAAGGGAACGCCTAACCGACTGTAACGGAGTATCAGACCCAGTCAAACGCTCCGCTACAGTTTATCCTTCGTTACTCCACATGTGTACCAAAAACACCCCCATTTAGTACTTTTCCTTGAGTTTTCGTGCTGCCTGTTCGACACGGAGACACACGGGAAGGACAAAAGCCGCCAGCAAAGCGGGAGGAGATGAGCAGAAACAAATCGATCTGGCAGCCCACGGCACGGTGAACCAATTCTACAAACAGGACAGCACAGCACCATCACCGTGCCGTTATCCCCAAACGGGGCGCAACAGAACAGCGACCGACCCCAGCAGCGCAGAGCACGGCGCGCTCCCGTGCGCCCCGAGCAGCGAAACCGGCGGTGCTGCACAGCGACCGGGGAGCGCCGGGAGCCGCAGCGGCGGATTCGCTCGGTGGGAGCGCAGCCGGGGCCTCGCCGTCCCCGTTTACGCGAACGGGGTGCTGCCGGCTACCTAGGGCGGCTCCCCGCCGCCCGGCTGCTCACCTCATGACGACCCGCTTTCCCTTCACATCCACCTTGTCCAGGGTCAGCTTGTTGGAGAGAGACATGATTGCTGCCGTCCGTTCCCTACTGCCTCCGCCCTCGCTCTGCCGCGCTACCCGTCGGCGCCGCCGCTACGCCGGCCGTCTCGTCCTCGCTCGCTGCCGATTGGGCCCACGCGGCCCGCGGCGTGCTCCTATTGGACGATCCGCCCGCCCGTCAGCCACCCGCCCGCCCCCGCGAGAGGCCGCGCTGCGGCGGAGGCCTGGTCACGTCCCGCACGGAGCCGCCGCCGCGTGAGGTGAGGAGGGGCGTGCGGCGCTTCGGGCCTCGTCCTCGCGGTGCCGCGCTGAAACGAATCCCCTTTCACTTCCAATCTCATCGAAATGAATGCTTCCAGGTGTTATTTTAGGGCCAGTTCTGCAGAAAGGGCGAAGACGTGCCCGCGGAGGGGAGCCGTGAGCTGCAGCGCGGGCACCGGCCCGCTGAGCTGGGCCTGGAGGACCGAGAGCAGAACTAACCGGCTGACGTTTGCCGGCAGGTTGATGCGCTGCCATTCTCACTCCACAGATACTTGTGAGGAAGGTCTGTTAGCAAGTCAAATGCTTGATCTTCGCTGTTCTGCTCTTTGCTGAAGGCAGGGCTAAACGTGGCTGAGCAGTCTGCAACAGAACAGCAAAAGAGAGGACACACAAAAAAGTGCACTTACAGGAATCAAAACATGAAGATATGCAGAGAGCAAAACTAACACATTTCTTCGCACGTGGACTGAAACATCCCACCAGTGCTGGAGCAGAAGCTGAGGAGCGGGAGCCCTGTGGTGTGAGAGGTGTCTGAAGGCTCCGAGAAGCTGGACAGGCCTCAAGGCAGGTCAGAAACGTCCATACAGCCGAGTTATTTGGCCATCCCCGTGGCATTATCTATAACTAAATCGTAATCTGGGTTCAAATTAAAAGAGGTCAGATAACAGTCTCAGTATTCACTGCAAAGTAAATCTAGAGTGGATCCAAGGGTCCCTCCTGCGAGTTCACATTAGTAAACCTGCTCTGAACCTCCAGTAGCCCAGCAGGGATCTTGTTAAGTAGAGACCAGAGTGCAGCGCTGTATCACCAGTAGGCTGGGCAGTCCAGCACTACTGATGCTATAGGGCTGATCACCATCAAATCAAAATTCCAAACTGGTCCCGAATCTAGCTTTCCCAGAGTCCAGATTTCCTTTCCTCAGTACTTGAATTCATTCAGTATTACAAGGCCTTCTTTTGAAAAACGTGTGCCATCTCTTAGCAGTAAAAAAGCATGAAGGAGAAATGTCATAGTGCATGGCATGCACACAGTAACCTGAGCACCCGCAGTAATACAAGATGCAAGGCGGTTTTATTAGCAAAGCTGCTTGAGGAGAGGAGGCAGTGAGACTCTTGGTAGCCCTCAGTTAGCAGAGGGTGGTCAGGAATAAAGGACTACACGAGTCATTTTGAGTGAATTTGGAAAGAATCAAATACTAAAAATACCTCAAAACTATTTCCAACATAGAAGTGAAATACAGGAATAGAAATATAGGAATAGAGTTCATGTGCTTCCAATGCAATATTCTACAAGGATAAGAATAATAGAAAACAACCAATAAAATGCAACTCAGTAGGACTAACTCCACTACAAATATATACATGTGACAGACCAGTACTGTGTAATGTCTTTGATTATCAGAAATTAGGAGCTTTGTGCAGCTATAAGGGTCTGTTGTTTTGGGTATCGCTGCAGCCAGTAAGGTGGACTCAGGTTTTATGTTTGCTTGTTTCTTTCTCTGTTTGTTAGGAAGCAGGCAAGGGGGAGAAGGTGGGAGGAAGTCACATAAGAACTTGGGGGAGGAAGAATATAATCTCAAATGGGATGTGTGTACACTGTAAAGAAATATAAGAAAAGAGAAGCGTTACAGATGTGTGTTCAAGACTCAAAGCTCATTTCCACGTTTGAGTCACCTTTCTGTCCCTCCTGTGTTGTGAAATATCTACAATATACTGCAAATATTTAAAGAATAAAGCCCGTGCAAACAGTTCAAAACCTGTGCTTGTAAAGTAACTGATACAACAAACTCAGGAGGGCAAAGGACAGGTAAATTAAAATTAAAAAAAAAAAAAAAAAAAAAAAAAAAAGGGAAAAAAGGATGTGGTGTGAGCACCTAGGAAGTCATTTCTGGGAATATGAAACAGAAACTGTACTTTTCAGGGACGTAGCCATCATCTGCACCATCCTGCCTGCTTTGTTTCACCAAAAGGAATGAGATTGTGGCAAGTTTAGACAGACTGGGCTTTTGTACATCGGCCTTTGTGTTTAAATGAAATAAACAAAAGGGCTTGGAGGCCAGTTATCTGTGTCTTCTTCTGTGCCACGTGATGCAGCCATGCTGTTTTTAGAACTACTGTCTGTGGTTTAAGTTTATACTTAAAAAAACCCAACAGGCTTCAGTGGAATTTACAAGATAATAATTTTGTAAGAAAGCTATGAGTGTGCTTTTTAACTTTCTCCTTGAAATGGAAGATGTTCAGGAAGGAACCTGAACTGCACCTTTCTCTATTTTAATTCAACCAGCTGCTGTGTTTTGCTCTTGACATTTACTACTGCCTAACTAAATCAAAAAAAAGGGATAACAAATCAGCTTAACTAACAGGAAATAATAAAAAGAGAAATCCCCACTTATTACCCGCAATAGCTCTGTCATCGATTGGACAGCGAACAGAACGTAAGTTATTGTGCTTTTCGGGATGCAGAGCGAACCGAGAGAAGCACCGACCTGCCTGGCTCCCGGTGCCCCCAGGCTTTCCGTGCAGCAGATGCCGCTTCCAGACGTTTTAAGGAACAGGGCCCCCTGGGGGAAGCTCCGCGATTGCTCGCTGGGCAGTAATGGTGTGCCAGCACTTGCCCAGGGTTTCACTGCTACAGCAAGAAACAAAGTTTTTCTTGCAGATTTTCCTCCCCAGACTCTACCAGGTGCTTTTCGCCTTATCTTTTTCACTTTGTTTTCTGCTTTGGTTGACTATGTTCTAATACATTTCTTTAATTGCTCTTAAACTTCGTGACGTAATGTCTGCTTTGTTGATTTGTTAATTGCTCACAAACTGCTGAACACTGAAAGAATCTGGTCCTTTTTGCCTCAGTTTCTCTTACCTCCTTAATGAGGACAATTGCTTTGAGCACAAACCAAAGTTCACATAGCTGGGGCGGGCAGACTGCGGAAGCAAGGGATGCAACAGAGAAGATAGAAGGTAGCACTGATTTCCTTCTCTGCTGCTTTTATCTTGTGAAACTGGTGATGGGAGACTGCTCTGCTGCTCTGGCAGATAAGGCCTCTGACAAAGACACAATTATTTGCAGCCTGTTCTCTTCTCCCTGAAGATGCCTATTGAGTTCAGTGGCTCAGCAGACTGTACCTATTTTGAACTCAAGCATTTTACAGCAAGGAATGTTCTTTCATTTCTCAGAAGTATCAGCCAACCACAGCTCTGTGCAGAATCCTGCTCTACACAAGTCCCCTCTCTTTTCTTGCATCTAGACATGTATGCACACAGCTCTCAAGCTCTTGTTCAGCAACTCATTTTAGTTATGCATTTAATGGAATACAAAAATCTTATTCTCTTAAGGAGTTTTCACTTGTGATCTAGAAGATGTGATACAAATTCATAGCTACTAAAATTATCCAGTCAACTGGAAGGAAAAAAAGAACACTGACAGTAGCACATCTCTGGCATGCTGAATTTTGCCTCAAAGCCTGACCTTCAGGGCTCTCAGACTGCTCTGCTGAGACATTTTCTAAAAATGCTACTGGAAAAAAAAACAGGGAAGAATGCATTTAAAATAAACTTAGCTATACTAAAAGCTATACTAAAATAAAAGCACTTGGGCAGGGATTATAAACAAAGATGAGGGTTGCTCTGGAAGTAATGCCTCCTGTTTTATTCTTTTGGCTCACAATGTCAAGAAGCAGATGCTGGTGGGATTGCAGTAGAGGGGCAACCTTCCCACCAGTATCCCAGTATGTTTTGTTGCCAGGACAGATAGGCAGCAGAGGGCAGTCTAATGGTGGCATCTGACATGGAAGAGCTGATGAAGCAAAGGGAAAAAAACTGAATCCCTCCATAGGGAAAAAAAATGGCACCTACTGACATCCATTGGCACTTGCTGAAAGGTTATGGAGACCAAATAGTGGGTGGGCATTTCAACAGTGGTGACAGAGAAAATATGAAAGGGGTGATCCTTCTAGATTTCCTGGAACCAAGACAAACCAACTCTGACTACTACACCATACCTAAGCTGGAGGCTCCGACTTCCAGAGTCAGATCAGAGAAGACAACCTTTCTCTTGCAACACAGAAACAGCAAGATCCATACCAGCTTTTATAGTTTCCAAGGATAACAGGAGGCATTACTTTCAGAACAATGTATATATACTAAAGGAGGAGACACAGGGGAGATGTACATTGTGCAGCATTGCATAGAAGCCTCCTCAACATCTCAAGTGGGACTAGCTCAGGAGTAGGCAAAAATGAGCTGAGGAGCCGAGGAGCCAGGGGGAAGAATAGATCTTTGCAGGACTCTGGTCTGAGCAATCCAGAAAACCAGGTGAACTCTTCCAGGAAAACAATAGAATAGTACCATGGAACTCCAGGAAAAAGCACCCCAGACAATCTGCCAGCAGACAGGTGTAAGGAAAGTGCTAGACATGGCACAGCAGGGAGGAAATCAGAGCAATCTTGTAAGCAGAAGCGTGTAGGACTAGTGCTTGAGAAATGCTTTGAGAAAGATCATAATGATATGGGACTTCAGGCTTTGTTCCCCTTTTCTACCCTGACAAATGGAAAGTAGAAAATATCCTGAAGAAAACACCAGCTAGAGACCAGAGCCCAAGGACCAGGTTAGGGTTACACTGAAGTAAGAAGGGCAGCTGGACAGAAGAGCTGAGAAGGGAGCCTTCTTCAGTTACTGGTCCTCATTTCTTCAAATGCCGATCAGAGTAATTCCTACACTGCTGCAGGGGATTTGTGCCCAGTCCAAGGAGTATTCTGTGGATGGAGCCTGGCCATCTCCACTACAGAAAGACAGGAGTACTCTGAGCTTTTCTCACAGGTTCATGCCTGGCACTTTTTGTTGAGACATGGCGTGACTGCCTGAATGACTGCGCTTCAGCCAGCCTCTTCTCAGTAGTAAAGGCAAAAAGGGCAAGAGACAACAGGCACAAACTGCAACACAGGAATTCCTGTTTCATCTCAATATAGGAAAGCTTTTTTTTCCCCTTCTCCTGCTCTGAGCAGTGGTGGAGATACTAAAAGATTTGACAAGACTCAATACCGGGCAACCCGCTGTGGCCAGCACCTGCTTTGACAGATCTGCACTTCTTGTGCTCCATTCACAATCTTCAGCAGCTTTCCAACCCCAACTACTCATTCTGTAATAATGTGATGTTCTTTATGTAAGGATTATTCCCCAGTTTCCCACCTTTCACTAAAACACACTCTTTCAAGTAGGCTGGGCATGCTGCTGAAGATCATGCAGCTGAGTAGTACTGGAAGCATATGTAAGAAAACCCTAATACTCACTCCTTAGCCAAATCAGGGACAAAAAACCAAAACTGCTTCACCTTTCCAATTTCAGAATGAGTTCTTACTTGGTGAAGACAAAATGCATGCAACATGAAAGGCCTTCAGAATCATCCTATACACACACACACACACTTCAACCTGCTGCAAGGCAAATCCAACATCACCATGTCCCGGAGATGCCATGTGTTGCCCTTTAATTTAACAGTGTGGAGGAAGGGATGGGAACAAATTTTGAACAGCTAGCTGCAGAATCTGCTGTGAAGTCAGCACACAAAGTATTTAAATAAGATCATAGAACATGATTAAAGACACATTTTTTATTATACACTTTATAATTATCACTATAATGATGGAGGCACAATCTTAAGAGAATAGGAATTATGAAACTGCATTTTCCTCAATATAAAGAAATGTAACAGTACTAAATTAACATTCCATAATAGCATTCTTTTTTCCATTCAAGTTTAAAGCATTAGGATGGAACTTGTTTTAAGCAACATCTGTAATAAATAAAATTGCTTGCTTTCATTGTGTTCTGCCAACTTCACATTCTTTTTCATTTAAAATTTCAAGTGTCTACACTTTTAAAACTTTATTGGTAAGATTCGGAGTGATGCTTAAAGCCTTAAGAGAGAGTGTGTATATATATATATATGTATTTAAATAAAACAGGTTTTATAAATAGTTACAGAAAACAAAACAAACAAGTAATACATAATTCCATTTGTAACTATGTTTCCAAGAGATATTTTAAATTCTTGAATTCAGTCTACAAGAGGAGTAAGGGACTTACATAGTAAAACATTTACTTTAAGAACACATTTACCTCCCACATTATTTCACTTGCACTGTACATTCAAACTGAAAAATATTTTGGTTCTTCACTGTAAAGCACCTTATAAGATACGTTCATCACAAGACAAGCTTTCTGCAAGTCAGTATTACATACAAGGCGAGTAAGAAGCAGGACTGCACAAACTGTTCTCAAAAACCTGGACTCTGAATTCCTTAATCAGCTATGCTATGCTCAAATGTAAATTCAAGTTCAAAGGACATTTACAGACAGGTTTTCTTATGAAGGAAAACTGGATTGAAAAGGACTTCCAGGCTCAGTCCTGACCACTGCAGTTAGCAAGAGGCATCACTTCATGTAAGCTTCTTTCAGAGGCTTGGTTTCTACCCATACCATCTCTAAAAATATATTTTGAAAGAATGGAACAAATTCCTTATGCTGCTTTATCCACAGAGCAGGAATGTGACCCCATGTAACTGCTGTATCTCCTGCAGTAAGAGCACGATGTCTGTCACTTACAGACCACATGCACCACAGCAGGGGCTGGAGCAGCACCCGCAGCAGTGAAGCTCACCTGAAAGAATGTCAGGATCTGCCTTATGTCTTTGTGTGATTTAGATGACCTATTATCAGCAAAACTCAGACAATAACTTGCAAAACATTTCCTGTTCCATCTGCAAAATCTTGCTGAGAACAACACTGAGAATGAACATGGATTAACAAGACAACTGAAATCTTTGGAAACAGTTTACACAGCCTTAAAGCACAAAAAGCTGCTTGAGAGCATTCTGTTGGCCTTTAGGTAAGTATCCAGTTTGAAAGAAATACCTTTGTTGCTGAAAACCAAGAAAAACATCTTCATGAAATGGCTTTGCAGTAGTGCATTTCAGAATTTCTTAACACATACATACAACCTAATGGGAGTGAAAAGAGGTACTCATGTAGAGATATTAATAGCCTAATTCTGAGACAG